CCGCGCGCGTTCACCCATTAGGATTACAGGACCCGGCTGCCCCTGAACGGGACGGAGGGTCAGAACAACGGCTCCCTCAGGATCTCCAGCCTGCGGTTGAAGGACCAGAACGTGTACTTCTGCCGGGTCAGTCTGAACACACTGAACAATGGCAAGAAAGAGAGGCAAGTGTGGCAATCCATCCAGGGGACCAGGCTCACTGTCACGCCCGGTGAGTTCAGCTCCTCGCAGCTCCAGGTTCACCCCACGTGTGACTTTTGTTAACCGCTGGTGTCCTGGGCCCCAGACATCCCCTCAGGCCCCACCCCTCTGACCTTCCTCTCTAACTTCTCTCCCTGCTCCCTGGCCCCTTTCTTGGCCTTTCCCCCCTTAATCTTCCCTAAGCCTGAGCTGCCTTCCCTAACCACGCCTCTCCCTGCCTTCTCCGCAGTCTGTCCCTGCCCCACTTTCTAGACCTCAGCACCTGCCAGTCTCCTGTTATCGTCCCTTCCTGCTCCGAACGAGGGCTCCAGCTCCCTGCCCCTGCCCTGGCCCTGGCCTGCCGGTCTGTCTGCTTTCTCCAGGACAGGGCTTGCCTTCACCTCATCACGTGACTGTGTAGAGCTCAGCTCACCTCTCACAGTGGGCGCCTGTCTTGGGTCTCCCCACAACCATGGCTCAGCCTGGACCACCGTAGGTACCCAGTGAATGGCTCTCATAGTCCCCGGGTAACACTGCATCATTGCTTTCTCAGTCTCCCCACTTCCTTCTCTCCTTCTGCTCCCACAAACAAGTCCTTCGAGTCTTTCCTGGCCCAGTCTCATTTCTCTGGTCCTATCTCCCTCTCCTTCTGTATCTATTGTCTTTTTGTTTGTGTTGTTTTGTTTTCTATTTATTTATTTATTTTTACATTTTTCCACATTTACTTTACACATCAAAAAAATTTTGCTCATACTCCATAGTTCTTGACAGTTAATAAACAACTTTCAAAATTTCAAACTATCAAATTTTAAAGGTAGTGTTCAAAATATTTTTTATAACATTGTATAATTTTTTTGAGAGGTTTTTGCTATAGGGCGCGTGCGCTCGACAGACAGACAGAGAGAGACATTAGAGACAGAAAGCGAGAAATCACCCCCCCCAGGGGGGATGGCCACACCGCAATCCCTTCGGGATGGCCACCCCGCAATCCCTTCTCCTCCATTCTCCTCTCGGGATCTTGGGCATGCATGCACACGTGCCCGGTATGAGTTTTAAGCCACCGCATCCAGGACGCAAACCACAGTCGACTACGTGGGAATCCAGCAACATAGCCGTTACACTAACTGCTGGTCCCCCAAAGTTGAATTTTTATGTGTGACTATTATGTCAACTTTGTAATGCACACTAAATGTCCGCAAAGAAGGTACAATTTGTTTGTAGTTCCTAAAGTTGTAATATATGTTAATTTAACCTAAAAACATGTTTCCAATGTACACTAGGTATGAAACAGATGTTTTTTCTTCACTTATTAAAACAGTCCTATAAAAGGACAAATACTATATGGTTTCATTTATGTGAGATACCTACAGTAGTAAAATTCATAAAGACAGAAAGTTGAATGGTGGTTACCAGGAGCTGAGGGGAGGGGAGAGTAAGGTGTTGCTTAATGAGTACAAAGTTTCCAATGAGAATCAGGTGTTGGGGCCAGCAGATGATGTGGAGGTTAAGGTGCTGGATCTCACATGGCCAATGTGGATCCCAGACCTGGCAACTTAAAAGTCACGTTGAGCATATGTGTGCATGTGTCCTGAGAGGAAAATGGAGGAGAAGGGATTGCAGTGTGGCCATCCCCCTGTGGGACGATATCACACTCTCCCTCTTTCTCTGTCTCTCTCTGGCAACCACATATGCCATGTAGCAAAAATGAAACAAAACTTAGGAGTTGGACGGTGGTGATGGTTACACATGCACAGCAACATGAATGTACTTAATGCCGTTGAACTGTACACTTATATATGGTTAAAATGATAAATTTTATGGTACATAGATTTACAGCAATAATTTTTTAATCCTATGATTTAGTATCCCTATTTGTAAGTAATGAAATAAGTTTCTGAGGATACAGCTCTGATAAGTGGTGTAGAATCAGGATTCAAATTGGGTCGCCAGGATCTAAGCCTTTGGCATTTTACCTTGTTACTCCCTTCCCTGTGTGAGCTCCTGAGGGCTGTTCCTCCACCTTCCATATTCTCCCAAAGTCAGGAATAAGAAGCAGCACCATCACCCAGGTACCCCCTCCTCCAGGGGAGAGTCTTCTTATTTCTTATCTCTCTCCAGTTGTCAAGACCACCACCCACAGCCCCTCCAACGTAGCTTCCACCACAGCTGACCTGAGGATCACAGAGGACAAGAACTCAGGGTCCCAGCCTCTGAGTCTGGAGACAGCAGTAGGGGTGGCAGTGGCAATCACTGTGCTTGTAATTGCCGTTTTGGGATTGATGATCTTCCTCAGGTGGAAGAGAAGGAAAGGTAAGTGGTCTGTCGTCTCCCATAGGAGATTATATATCTATATGTATATGTATCAGGAAAGTCATGACGTATTTTTCTATGCAAAAATGCATCATGACTTTCCCAACATCCTATATATCTATAGATAGATAGATAGAGGGGTTTCAACACAGCCTCATTCATCCAAGCTGAAACATGGGACTTATTCCTGCTCCTTCATCCCTATATCAATCTAAAATCAAGTCTTACTGATTTTGCAAACTTCATCAGAATCACCAAAGGTGCTTCTTAAAAAAACAGAGACAGGGGTCAACAGATGGTGTACTGTATAAGGAACTGGACTCCCACATGGCTAACCATGGTCCAAGTCCCAGACCCAGTGGCTTGAAACTCATGCCAGGTATATGTGTGTACGTGTCCAAAATCCCGAGAGGAGAACGGAGAAGGGTTGTGGAGTAGCCTTCTAGGGAGTGATTTCTCACTTTCTCTCTGTCTCTCTGGCAAGCACACATGCCCTGTAGCAAAAATCTATCAAAACAAAACAAAACAAACAAACAAAAAAAAAAACAGAGACCAGAGGCTAGTCGGTAGTGCAGAGGTTGAGCTAGCTGGATCCTACATGGCCAACTGTGCAGTTCAAGTCCCAGACCTAGCAGCTTGAGAAACATGCCAGGCATATGTGCAAGCAGGTCCAGGATCCTGAGAGGAGTGTGAAGGAGAAGGGATTGCAGTATGGCTGCTCCCCGCTGGGAGGTGATTTCTCACTTTCTCTCTCTCTCTTTCTCTCTGTTGAGCACACATACCCTTTAGCAAGAAAAGAGAAAAAAGACAGAAACCTGCTGAGCTGCCCTCCAATCTACTAAGTTGGATACTCTGAGGTCTGGCCTTGGGGATCTCCACTTTTTTTTGGAGAGCTTTCTTTCTTTCTTTCTTTCTTCTTTTTTTCTTTCTTTTTTTTGTTATAGGGCGCATGTGCTCACCAGCCAGACAGAGAGAGACACAGAGACAGAAAGCGAGAAATCACCCCCAGAGAGGATGGCTATGCCGCAATCCCTTCTCCTCCATTCTCTTCTCAGGATCTTGGGCACGCACACACACGCGCCCGGCTTGAGTTTAAGCCATGAGGTCTGGGACTTAAACCTCGGTCGACTACATGGGAGTTCAGCGACATAGTCATTATGCCAACTGCTGGTCCCAAGGGGATCTCCACTTTTAAGCAGTTCCTCAAGTGGACTTTGGGCAGGATAAAGTAAGAACCACCAATACCTCTCCACACAATCTAATCACATTCCAGAGCTCTTGACTTAGTCATCTCTCATCAAGTCTCACTTTTTGGTTCATGGAAAGGAAAGGCCTAATCTGGGAAGAGTATGGAGAGAAGAAAAGAGACAGGAAATTGGCTCAGTTTAGCAAGTGTTGGAGATACAAAAGTAGGTAAAGCAGAGATTCTGCTTTCAAGGAACTCAGTAGAGGTGTAAGGTGCACATAGAGTTATTTAATGGATTAATTGCCTCATTTGGAAAGAGTTATGGAGGCACATAAAAAGTTTTGGAGGAAGGAGAGGTAGTTGGGAAGGACTTTCCAGAGAAAGTGACATCCACAAAAAATCCTGAGTGAATGAAGAAGGGATTGCAGCATGGCCATCCTACCTGGGGGTTGGGGGGTTGGGGGGGGTGATTTCTCACTTTTCCCTTCTCTCTGTCTCTCTCCAAAGAGCATACATGCCCTGTGACACACACCAAAAAATCTAAATAAATAGTATCAAAAAATAAAAAATTAGCCAGGCAAGTGGTGACGGTAGCAGAGAGATTGCTCTCCTTCCAGGGGGGAGAAACCACTCCAGGAACTGTAGGAAGCTCCGTGCTGGTGGAAGCAGGAGATGAGGAAAGAGAACCTTGTAGACCACACTCAAGAGCCTCTGACCCCAGTTGCAATATGAAGCAGCAAAGTGACAGCCTTAACTCCCTCTTAAGGATGTATCAGTCAACAGTGGGGAGCTTGGAGGTGACCAGGCCATGTCAGTCTAATGTAATCCAATGTGCATGGAGAGAAAGGGCTAGATCCTGGAAAAGCTGAGAAGCCAAAATTACTAAGATTAGATTTTAGATTTATGTAGGGACACGGGTTCAGGAAAGCCCCTTGCTTCAACTTGGTGGAATGAAGCTGTGATGAAACCACCAAGAACAACAGGGAACAGAGAAGGAAGAAACTCTATTGGGGGCAGACAGATGATCCATTTCATCTGGGACATGTTAGGTTTGAGATACCTGTATGGCATCTGATTAGAGCTGCTATGTGTACGTATTTATAGCTTTTAAGAAAGGACAGGGCTGGAGGCACCAATCAGTTATACCCTAATATCCTCCAACACGGATTTGAAATTCTTCAAAGAAAATGTCTGATGAGAGGAGATTCCCCCGATCAAATACCAAAGCACAGGGATGAAGAACACAAAAAAGAAACGGCATCAAACCCTGGTTTCAAATGCTTGCTAGTGAAACTCTAGCACAATGGTAATACTGTTGCATGCCTCAAGTTACTCATGGGTAAACTAGGGATAATAATAACAAATAGGGGGACCAGCAGTTGCCGTAATGGCTGTCGCTGGACTCCCATGTAGTCGACTGCAGTTTGAGTCCCAGACCCAGCGACTTAAACACACACCGGGCTCATGTGCGTGCATGCACAAGATCCCAAGAGGAGAATGGAGGAGAAGGGATTGCAGTATGGCCATCCCCCCTGGGAGGTGATTTCTCATTTTCTGTCTTTCTGTCTTTCTCTGTTTTTCCAGTGAGCACATGCGCCCTGACATAATACACAAATTAAACAATGGAGGGAAAAAAGAAAAATCAAATATGGCAGAATGGAAACAGAACCAAATGTAGCTAGACTCGTGAAATGAATGGAAAGTGAAAGTAGGGGCCAACAGGTGGCACTGAGATTAAGGTGGCTGGATCCCATGTGGCCAACTATACAGTTTGAGTCCCAGACCTGGCAGTTTGAAAAACAGCAACATAGCCATTACACCATGCTGGTCCCATTATTTTCCCTCTCTTACTCTGTCTCTCTCTCTGACAAGCCCATGTACTCTGTAGCAAACAAACAAACAAACAAACAAACAAAAAAAAAAAACACTAAGAAAGTGAAAGTAGAATGGTAGCTGCCATGGGCAGGAGAAAGAAAGGAAGGGGGAATTCTCTAAAGGGTATAGAGTTTTAGTTTTGCAATATGAAAAAGTATTGGAGACTTGTTTCACAACAATGTGAATATAGTTACCACTACTAATCTATACACTTAGAAATGGTTAAGATGGAAAACTTGTTTTTTAGTCACAGTTAATATAAATAAACAAATAGAACCTGTTTACACTTCAGAAAGAGAGTGTGGTAAAAGGAAAGCTGCAGCATAAAAATGATACTTGGATTTAATACTTCAGAATGAAGTCTTTTTTTTTTTTTTTTGAGAGGTTGTTGCTATAGGGTGCGTGCGCTTGCCAGACAGACAGAGACAGAGACAGAAAGCGAGAAATCACCCCCCAGGGCGGATGGTCACGCCGCAATCCCTTCTCCTCCATTCTCCTCTCGGGATCTTGGGCACGCACACACACGCGCCCGGCGTGAGTTCTAAGCCACCGGGTCTGGGACACGAACCGCGGTCGACTACATGGGAGTCCAGCGACATAGCCATTACGCTAACTGCTGGTCCCTGAAGTCTTGACATTAAAAACAGCAACAACAAAAACAATCTAGGAAATGGCTGAATGGGAGGGAAGTAAAATCCCTGGAGTTGGAGAGTGAGGGACATCAGTGAGTCCTGTGTTCAGAGGGTTGTCCTGTGCATGATGTACCACCCAGGTAGATGGTGGATGCTAGAGGATACTGTAAACCAGGGGCCAAATCCTTGGGAAATGCTGCAGATACTTCAAAGTGGACATGTAGGGGACAGGACAATGGGTAGACGGGATAGTGGCTATTGTATAAGAGGACCGGCTGAGAGGGGAGGCAAAATAGTCCAGTGATAGCAAGAGATGTCTCAACCCCTACAAATATTCATTCCACCATGAGGCTCTCAAGGTATAGAAAAGACTGCTACCATTCAAAAACAACATATGAGGGGCCAGCAGGTGGCATGGCGGTTGAGAGCATTGGACTCCCACATGGCCAATAGTGGTTCAAGTCCCGGACCTGACAGCTTACTTTCTCACTTTCTCTCTCTCTCACTCTCGTTCTCTCTGGTCAAATAAAAATAATGGGACCAGCAGTTAGCATAATGGCTATGTTGCTGGACTCCCATGTAGTCGACCGTGGTTCGAGTCCCGGACCCAGTTGCTTACACTCACGTCGGGCACGTGTGCATGCGTGCCCAAGATCCCAAGAGGAGAACAGAGGAGAAGGGATTGCGGTGTGGCCATCCCCCCTGGGGGTGATTTCTCACTTTCTATCTCTCTGTCTCTTTCTGTCTGGCTGGCGAACGCACGCACCCTATAGCAAAAACCTCTCCCCCCCAAAAAAACAGTAAATAAATAAAGTTAAATAAAATAACTCTAAAAAAAAAAAGTCAAGAAGCTGATTTTGTAGGCCAGGAAGAGACTGGTGTGTGTACTGAAGAGGAGGAGAAGGAGAGAGGTGGCAGTTGGGACTTCAGTACAGGGAGGAGCAAGGTTGGAGAGTCTGGAGGTCAGAGATGGGGAAGGGAAGCCAAGGGAGGGGAGG